CTTCACGGTGCACGCCGCGCGCGCGGCATACGTGCGCTCCGGCAGTGCCCGCACCACTACTACAGCCCACGCACGCCCGCACCGCCAGTCCGCCACCACCTCGGCCGCGCCCGCGCAACCACAGCCACGCAACGCACCGACCGGCCGGGACACCGCGAGCGCTTGCGCTTATATATAGAGACGCAGCGTAACTCGTGGCGATCGAGCAGAGCGAGCGTCGTTAGTTGTGCACACTGCACTGCAGTGGCCTCCTGTCTCGGTCGAGGTAGTAGTAGGCATATGGCAAGGTCGTCGTCGAACACCATGCTGTGGTTGCTGCTCGCCGTGTTCGCTTCGTTGGCCGCCGCCGGCGCAGGCCGCGGCGACGACGGGAGGAGATCGTCGCCCCAGGTGTACGTCGTGTACATGGGCGCCGTGCCGCCCCGGACCTCCCCCGACCTCCTCCTGGAAAGCCACCTGCGCCTCCTCGGCACGGTGCTCAAGAGGTCGTCGTCGTCACAGAGCTTATCTCTCTCTCTCTATATATATATATGCACGTGTTCCCCGCTGTCACCTGTTGATTTGTTTCGCCACCAGGCCGCTCTGGTGGACAGGACTGACATCGAACACCTTTTGGTGTCTTTAGCTTCCCCACATATATGTACACGTCACACGTCACAGCAACACACGACTAGTCGACTACACGAGCTAATAAGGCATGCATGCTGTTGCTATATCCAGGGGCCGGAGGGCAGACAGCGTGGTGGTGCACCAGTACAAGCACGGCTTCTCCGGGTTCGCGGCGCGGCTGTCCAAGGACGAGGCCGCCGCGCTCCGGCGGAAGCCCGGCGTCGTCTCCGTGTTCGCCGACCCTGTGTACCAGCTGCACACCACCAGGTCCTGGGACTTCCTGCAGCAGACGACTACTACGGCAGTCAAGATCGACGACTCCGCCGGCCGTGCTAGACGCAGCAGCAATAAGAATAAGGGTAGCAAGGCCGCCGCACCCGCCGACGACCCGTCGTCGTCGTCTCCGGCGACGGACACCATCATCGGCCTGCTCGACTCCGGCATCTGGCCCGAGTCACCCAGCTTCAACGACGCCGGCTTTGGGCGCGTGCCCAGCCGGTGGAAGGGCGTGTGCATGACTGGGGACGACTTCAACTCATCCAACTGCAACAAGTTAAGTGAGCGAGCGCCATGCATTTCTTCTTCCTCCTCTTTTTTGCCCCGCCGATGCATTTCGTGTTTCTGATGATGGTTCCGACCGATCAATCGACGCATGCATGCAGCAAGCTGATCGGCGCAAGATACTACGACCTCAGCGGCGTGGGAGGCCCTTCCCCGAGCGACGGTGGCTCGCCACGGGACGATGTAGGCCACGGCACGCACACGTCGTCCACGGCGGCCGGGAACGCGGTGACCGGCGCCTCGTACTACGGCCTGGCCCCCGGAACCGCGAAGGGCGGCTCCGCGGGCTCCAGGGTCGCCATGTACCGGGTCTGCGCCGAGTCGGGCTGCGCGGGGTCCGCCATCCTCGCCGGCTTCGACGACGCCATCGCCGACGGCGTCGACGTCGTCTCCGTCTCCCTGGGCGCGTCGGCCTTCTTCCGCCCAGACTTCTCGGCCGACCCCATCGCCATCGGCGCCTTCCACGCCGTCGCCAAGGGGGTCATGGTCGTGTGCTCCGCGGGCAACTCCGGCCCGGACGCCGCCACCGTCGTCAACGCGGCGCCCTGGATCCTCACCATCGCAGCCACCACCATCGACCGCGACTTCGAGTCCGACGTCGTGCTGGGTGGAAATAACAGCGCCGTCAAGGGTGTGGCTATAAACTTCTCGAACCTGGACAGATCCCCCAAGTATCCATTGATCACTGGTGCAGCCGCGAAGTCTAGCTCAGTTTCTGACACTGACTCAGCAAGGTAAACTACTAGCTCTCACGGATCAAAATCCTGAATAGCTGTGACGCCATGCATGATCGTGATGTAGCCACTGTGAGCCTGGCACGCTGGACAGCAGCAAGATACGAGGGAAGATCGTGCTGTGCCACCACTCGCAGAGCGACACGTCCAAGCTGGAGAAGGCGGACGAGCTCCAGAGCGCCGGGGCGGCGGGGTGCATCCTGGTGAACGACGCCGAGAGGTCGGTGGCTACCGCCTACCTCGACCTCCCGGTCACCGAGGTCACCTCCGCCGCCGCCGCGGCCATCCACAAGTACATCGCCTCCGCCAGGTAGGTCGGTCGTCCTTATTCCTATTCTAGCTAGAGCGCCCTCCAATGCCATCTCGATTCTGCTACCAAAAGCGACAGCTAGGCCTCATATGACCGTAATCTGTCACGAAATGTAAGCAGCCAGCCGGTGGCGACGATCACGCCGGCGACCACCGTGACGGAGTACAAGCCGGCGCCCGTGGTGGCCTACTTCTCGTCGCGGGGGCCGTCAGGACAGACCTGGAACATCCTAAAGCCGGACATCGCAGCTCCGGGGGTGAACATCCTGGCGTCGTGGATCCCGCCGTCGTCGCTTCCGCCGGGGCAGAAGCAGGCCTCGCAGTTCAACCTCGTGTCGGGGACATCCATGGCCTGCCCGCACGTCGCGGGGGCCGCGGCGACCGTCAAGGCATGGAACCCGACGTGGAGCCCCGCGGCGATCCGGTCGGCCATCATGACCACGGCGACGACGCTGAACAACGAGCGCGCGCCGATGACGACCGACTCCGGGTCCGCCGCGACGCCGTACGACCTCGGCGCCGGGCAGGTGCACCCGACGGGCGCGCTGGACCCCGGGCTGGTGTACGACGCCGGGGAGGACGACTACCTCCGCTTCCTCTGCAACTACGGCTACAACGCGTCCACGGTCAGGCTCATCGCCGGCTCCGCGCTCCCCGGCGGGTTCAGCTGCGCGGCCAACGCCAGCAAGGACCTCATCTCCGACCTCAACTACCCGTCCATCGCCGTATCGGGGCTCCTCGGCAAAGCAACGAGCCGGACGGTGACGGTGACCCGCGCCGTCACGAACGTCGGCGCGCAGGAGGCGGCTACCTACACGGTCGCCGTCAGCGCGCCGGCCGGCCTGAACGTGAAGGTAACGCCCAGTAAGCTCGAGTTCACCAGGAGCGCGAAGAAGCTGGCCTTCCAGGTGACCTTCTCCCGCAGCGGGAACGACGATGGCGACGACGACGCGGCGGCCAAGGGCGCCCTGTCGGGCTCCATAACATGGTCAGATGGAAAGCACTTGGTCCGCAGCCCGTTTGTGGTCACCAGCTGAAACATCATGGCACTGCCTGCGTGATATCGACGCACAGGCACAGGCACTCACGTACTACTTAAGAGCGGTCAAGAAATGCTGTGATCTCAAATATAAAGTATAGTTGGATACGATGTTGACAACCACTGCACTGCTGGTGGCAAACTCACAATCATCAAACATTCTGAAACCGGGTCTATCAAAACGCCTTGGTGACAAATGATAATTATGGTTAAACATGTGAATAAACAGGGCCGTCCCACTATAATGTCCAAACTTTTTTTTTTGAGTCTATAATGTCCAAACTTTAGGCCGCAGACCGCAGTAACCATGTAACACAGAAGCAACTTGCAGAGTAAGCATCAACCACAGCTGAAAGTATTGCTTCACCTTCTGCGTGGCCTGGTATGAAGTTTGGCTTGTTCGGCTCCTTTTTTCAGCCGGAACAGTGTTTTTCTCTCACGACATTTCAGTCAGAACAGTGTTTTTCAGTCACTTTCAGCCAAGTTACAGACCAGCGAACGGGGCCATATTGTTAATGTCAAAAGATTGTCAAGGTTCAAATTTTTCTGTCAAAAGATTGGAGCAGTAGGGGTTGAGCATTGTTAATGTCTGTATTATACTAGTATATCAGGCTTTTGTCGAAGACTCAGTTTAATTTTAAAATGGAACCTGGGCATTTATTTCATGTCCTATCAATTAAAAAAAATTTGTCATCTCCACAGCACTCAATCAGTATCTAAAACTACAAGTAAGCTTTGCTCTGGTTGAAGCTGCCTATTACAAGGTTCAAGTTATTGTTCAGCAACATAAATAACAAAAAATGCTTCAAGCTTTTGATGTTACTGTAAACCTTCAATCCCAAACTGTTCAATAACATGCACCAGCACCATTGCAACATATAGAAGATAATTGTATTCACTCAGCATAAATAAATATAATACACAAGATCAAAAAAACAAAATACACGTTAAATAATTACTCACTACTACAGCCGTGAAAAGGAAGCATCTGAAGATATAGCTTATTGCCAAAATACTACTTTGTTCAACATGGAATACTCCATTCATTAATACAACTAGCATAAAAATACATTACATAAGTGTCTCAGTAGGCTTGCAGTGTTAAGACCAAAAGCATACAAAGGCACACATCCAAGCAGAGACAGAACGTTCACCTATGTTCAATACAATCTAACCAGGATGCTAGCTGCTCCGTGGTTAGAGCATACGCTTTCAGTGCTTATCTGTGAGCGCTGGTGACTCGGAGAAATAAGGGATATAAGGAGCAATATTCATATACCAATTTTCATTTTCTAAACATGCAACAACACTCACTTCCTTACGGTCCATGTCATATGCTATCAATCTGTTGAAGGGCTGACGAAAGAAAACCACGTTGCAATCGGGATGAATGGCAACAATTCGAAAGTCCCGCCTGACTGCTGTAATTATTCCAAAGAGCTTAAGAAAGCTCACAGTATCCTTCAACACCCATTCTTGGGAACCATAATCCTGAAGGATCCAGATGGACAGTTCATAGCTCTGCTTCCGTGTAAAGTCATGAGCATCAAAATCGTGGTTGATGTAATGCAAGCGTCCTTGGGACTGTCCAATATAAGGAATAGGGTACCAACACCTCCCCTCTGCTACAGCGGGCATTGTGATTATCTTTTTTGTCTTCCCTTGTACATCCACAGCAGCCATCTGAGGTTGACCCATATCCAAAACTATCAAATGCAGGATGCCATTAACAAAAGCTCGCTGAGGGCTCACCTGATTTGGTCCGCCCTGATGGTGCCATCCTTCCAATAGTCCCTGTTGATCCAAGCCAAAAAGGTGTTCCAAGATGAATTAGGCTGACAGTAGCCACAGGGGGGGACGGTCCCCCAATGCTTTGTTGCTGGGTTGCACACGATATACCCGCCGAGTGTGTCAACCGGTTGCCGCTTCCAGGAGTGTTCCAAGAGGAGGAGCCCATTGCAGGAATCTCCGTAGACGAGGGCCTCAATCTCGGGTAGCTTCGTCAGGAAGGAGAAGCAACGATCGATGTCGAGAGGCACGGGTCTCGCCAGAAAGTTGATGAAATCAAAACGTCCGACGTCACCGTAGACGCTGCGCATCGGCTCGTCTACGACGAAGAACCCTTCCAAGGTTTGGGGGAGCTTCCTGCGGTTGAGAGGGCTGTCGATGAGGTCGCGCGAGGCCTTGGACACACACCTGAAACGGCAGACGGACTTGGCAGGAACGCGGGACAGGATCTCCACCAGGGGGTCTTCAGGGAGGCCGGCCACCGCGCCCGCGCTTCCCTTGGAGCAGTCCATGCCACCGAGAGCCTCGATCTGCGAGGTGTGGGATCGACATGGAGATGTCAGGGAATGCGCGGCGCGGGCGCGGGCGAGAGAGAGAAAACTGCAGGGAATGGGAGGTGAGAGGGGGTTTACCAGCCGCCGGGATCGACGGCGCCGGCGCCGGCGCCGGTGCTGGGCGGTGCCGAGGAAGCGAGATCGAGTGGGGAAGTGGGGATTTCTGGAGTGAAGCCGCCCAGACGCCGTAAAGCGAGAGACAATTTTTTTTTGCCAATGTCAAATATGGGCTTCGCCTGTATCCATTGAGCCCAGGGCTATAATGGTCACAGCAGGTCCAGTTCTGAGAAAAAGATGTTTTTTTAGGGGAGAAAAAGATGTTTTTTAATATAAAAGAAAACGGATAAAAAGCATATTATATTATAGTGTGTGGCCACGGTTTTATAACAGCGTTTGGATAAATTTCATTTGTAGGATGTGTTGACGATAAAAAAATGTCGCAAGGGCTTTGTGAATATGTTTACAGCAAAAAGGATCCCGGAAGATATTTCAGAAATGCTCTGACTTGGGCGTCCGTCCATTTCGAACACGGCGCACGCCCACGCCGCTCTCTTCCTATCACTTGACTAGTACTCCCGCTAGAGAGTAAGAGTAGTATATATTGTACTTATATTAAAAAAAGAATTGCCAATCCTTTTTCATCCTTTGTCTTCATCTGCGCAAACCAGGCAGCAACCGCAGCGTACCTCCTGCCGGCGCCTCCTCCATCCTTTTTGCTTCCTCCTCCCCACCCACGGTGCCATGTGGGTTGCCCAGGCCGACACCTCTTCATCCCTGCCGCTTCCTCCGCCCCACCCCAGCGCCGTGCCCCTAGCTAGCCCGCCACTTTATGTTCGTCTTCTCCACCACAGGCTGCAATCCTACTGCTAGTACTACAGTATAGTGAGGGGCCGGCTAGGAGATGGCGCTCCTCGCGAGGCCCCTCTGGGCGGCGGTCCTCCTCAGCCTCCCTACTCGGCTGGGCCTCGTCATTGCCACTCCAACGCCTCACGCAGGGTGGCCTCCATTCACTCCCTGTCCTCCTCACCGATCTATACCGGGATTCCCCACCCAGGTAGGGCGTGGCCGCGTGGTGGAAATGTTTCTGTATTTTCAGGTGTTTTTGACTTTTGTTTCAAATGTTTTATCTTGATGTTGCAAAAGTATATCTGAATGTTGCACATGTTTTCAAGTGTTTCAAGCGTTTCAGACCTTTGTTTCAAACGTTTCATCTAGATGTTGCAAAAGTAGATCCGGATGTTCCATATGTTGCAATGACAAAATCGCATGTTGCAAGCCTAGACCTTAGCATTTTGCGGGCCGGACCGGGTTCAAGCTGGGCCGAAAAAAAGCCCAGTTATTTTGGGCCGAAAAAATCCCGGCCATGACTGTCCCACTGGACAGGTCATGCCTAATTTTTTGGGCCGGGCTAAGTGAAAGAACCTAGGATGCCGCCTAGAGGGGGGGTGAATAGGCGTTTCTGAAAAATAACACCTTTAAATGCGGAAACAATTAGAAAGGGGAGTTTCCAAAATGGAAACTCCAAATTAAGAGTACTACCACCCCTCACAAGTTAGCCACAAAGTAAACAAGGTATAAAGAATATATCTAGAAGCTACAACCCTGCAACACCAAGTTAGAACAGAGAATAAATATTTTCAGTGCAGGCAGGAAATACCGGACGTGTCTGGTATGAATACCGGACGTGTCCGGTATACACGATTTCTGCAAATCGGCCCCGAACTTGCTCCTTTCGATTTCTATCTTCAAACCAAACTGCAGGCACCTAATGGAGATGACAATATACACAGAGAACCTGCAGAACAGCTAGAGCAACACAAATATCAAATGAAATGCGAATTTAGACACGATATTTGTTTTACCGAAGTTCGGACTCGTTCGAGTCCTACTCTCCGTTGAGGGGGCTGCGGGCGACCCAGCGAAGGTCAGCCCTAGAGGGTACCACGAAGGTCACTCTAGCTGGAGTCTTTTCCAACTCCTTTTCCTCCTTCCACTAATTTGATTCCGAGGCGGCGGAATCGACCGTTACAAACTTTCCGAAGCAACCACAATCTCTCGGTTGCTCTCCGGCGACGCCTAACCGTCTAGGACCGAAGAGTCCAAGAGTAACAAATGCGAATCACGAGATTGACAATATGCACAAGTGCTCAAGTGGTGGCTTGCTCTCTTTTTCAAATTCTCTCTCAACCCACAAATTGATTTTGCAATTTGGATCACACACTCACTAAGAGAGGGTTTAGGAGAGTTGGCAAGGCTCAAAAACGTGTCTATCTCAGCAGAATCAGCAGCCTCCAAAGGTGGAGGCTTGGGGGTATTTATAGCCCCCTTGAAAAACTAGCCGTTTTATAGCCGTTGCAATACCGGACACGTCCGGTATGCATACCGGACACGTCCGGTATGACTCAGACTGCGCCAACGGTAACTAAGTTACAGTGATGTTGTGAGGCGTCGGAACTCCCGAAGAATGCCGGGACTTCCGACCGTCGGAACTCTCGACTCAAGTCGGAACTCCCGACCCTCAGCAATTTTGAAAAACATGTAACTGAGTTAAAGTTAGTGAGGTGTCGGAACTCCCGACGCATGTCGGAACTCCCGACCCTCACGGCTTTTGAAAACTAGCCGTTGGCTTCTGGTCATCCATACCGGATACGTCCGGTGTGAATACCGGACACGTCCGGTATGACCAGGACAGTGAAACCTCTAAGTCTGTTGAAGTGCGAGACGTTGGAACTCCCGACCTATGTCGGAACTCCCGACGAAGCAACCCGAGAACAACAATTTTACAGCTGCTGGACAAATACCGGACACGTCCGATATTGCCAGACCAGCAAGAAATCAGTTAGCACATTTGTCGCTCAAATAATCAAACCTCACATGGGTTGGGTTGAGCACTTATGAAACATTATATATCAACATGATGCATCCCTCTTAATAGTACGACATACCTATTAAACTCAAGATCAAAGGAAAAATGAATTTATACCACTTGAGTTGATTTCTTTTGAATTGATGCCGTCCCTTCCAATCTTCATCAAGTAAGGGTGCTAACAAGTTGATGTTGATCTTTTCATTTGAGCATAGCCATCTTGAGCATGTGACTTGATTCCATTCATCAAATTTGAATAACCCCAAACGTATCAAGTCACTTCCATCAAATACTTCATTATAGATTTGATTCTTCACATCAATATGACCATCTTAGCTTGATTAGTACCTCAACTAAATGCAAGTACTTTCTTCTTCACCCTAGCTAGGTTCTTCGGCCGCCAAGCCGTCGCTTGCCCTTCACCCTTGCTTAGTACCTCGAAGCCTTTCCTTGCTATCTTCACCATCTCAAGCCATCAAGTCACATCTTGTGTTGAATCATCCATTCATATGTATTGTTATCTTTTTCATTTTAATTTAGCAAGCTTCAAATATGAGACCATTCCATATGCAATCCCTCATGTCTCATTAACTAATAATCATGAGCTTGCTTTCACATAGTACATGGAAATCCCACAAAAAAATAAGCCTTCACATGAATTCCATTTGCATTGTTGTCTTGTGCTTGAACTAGATTGTTTATACAACAACACATCATTTTGGCTTTCATTAAGTACCTGTGAGATAACCTATTACCTGTTCACACTTAGCAAACGGGTTAGTCTTTTAATCACGTTGTCATTCAATCAACCAAAACCCACTAAAGGGCTAGATGCACTTTCAATCTCCCCCTTTTTGGTGATGGATGACAATCCGATTAAAGCTTACAAAAAGATATAAACAATTAGGCTTTTGGATTCAATGATTTATGAGAGGCTCCCCCTTAATGTGTGCAATATGAATTGAATTCATAAATGACCTCAAATGTCAATTTGCACATACTAAAACACATAGGAGATCCTCCTTAAATCATTGCATCCATGGGGTGCAAGTGTGTGTCAAAATAAAAACCATGATGCATATGACATGATATATCACACAAGACTAAACAAAAAGCATCACACCATACAAAGTCACTCTAAAACATGCATGGTCCTTATGAAAGTAAATACATCATATATATCACACACATAGCACTCATCACAAAGATTTCTCAAGTCATATCTCTCCCCTTGTCATAGCTAGTCTCCCCCTTTCCTAGCTAGACACAAGGTTGCATTCTTGAAGCATTAAACATATCTCTCCCCCTTAAGCTTTCATCTCTCTCCTCCTTAAGCTTTAAACATATCTCTCCCCCTTTGTCATCTATCGCCAAAAAGGGTCACACAAAGCACAAAGGGTGCTTAAGGTTAAAACTTTGTACTAATCTCTCCCTCTTTGTATTAACCTCTCCCCCTTTGTCATCTTAAAGAGGTTGTACTTGTCACTTGTTTGCAATTCAAAATAGATCAAGTACATGGGTTTACTAGCTCATGAACAAACTCATACACTAACCACTAGATCATATAATCATTCAGGCAATAGTGGTAGTCTATGAATCTAAAATTTTCATTTGTAGTGCATGATCCTATAAGCATGTACTATATGCACTAACCGCATACTAGTAAGGGATGAAAAATGATCATGCACAATACAATGATACCTTTGCTATGTTGGAGAGGAAGATAGTCATATAGATTTCAATTCATTTCTCCAAAGAGCACCATGAAGTCCAATTATAAGCTTGGTGAAGACCAATAGATACCAATTCTTTGAATTCCTATTCTTCACCCATATGAATTGAGAATCACTAATGATCAAGTGCACTTTTCTTGTTGTGGTTGGCTTGCTTCTTCTTTGATCATTGCTTGCTTGAGAGAACTGAAAGATGCACCACTTGTAATACCACTTGAAATTTCATGATACCACTTGAAATTTTATGACTTGTTCTCTTTGGGTGTTGCTTGCTTTTTAGACCAATCTCTTGATTTTCTTCAACCAAGTACCTCAAATGTCCCTTTTAGATTACCACTTAGATTTTAGCCATCCAAGCC